TGTTTTGCTTCGCCAGCGATCATCAAAATTCTATAATTTGATTGGTCAGATATCACGTGATTCTGCTCTGCTTTAGATGACCCCTATAACTGGTGGTGATGATCACTGATTAAATAAATATTTATAATGCATATAATCTAATTGTATAACCTAAACTAATTGTTAAAAAAAATTCTATTTTAGTTTAATCTGTATAAATAATTGCAAGTATATAATCTAAAATTGGCTTTCTAGCAAGACTTCGGTTTAGTTTATCGTGTATAAATAACCTTCAAGTATATGAACTAAAATTGACTTAGCAAAACTCATAGTTTAATTTATCGTATACATATAAATAATTCCTCTTTGTGCAACATAAATTTAATCCGTTAGCGAAAGGTTTCAGCAGAGAGAACCAATATGCACTTATATATACAAACACAATACTACTAACAAATTAAATACTGCCTCTTTATTACGCACTATAGTTTTTACCATCACTTTAATAATTTCTTATACTTAACCACGTGATCATGTAACAATTATATAGTTTCATTTGTATCGCAAGAATTAAAACTCCGTGCTTTGTTTACATGAATTTAATGACAAGTAGCTTTTAGACTTATATACTTATATTTACACTTGCATACTTACATTTATACTTGCAGCTTTTACACTTACATATTTACATTCATACCATTTGCGATCTTTTTAGTAATCTTCAAGCGGTCTCTTTTTTTCGACAGTCTTTTTTTAGCGATCACTCTTTACTGCGGTCTCTTTGTCTCAGCGATCTCGTTTTTTTAAGTGATTCGTTTTTTGGAGATTTTTTTTTTCTTCAGCGATTCGTTTTTTTAGTGTTTCTTTTTTTTTAACGGCACCTTTTTTTTAGTTGATTCTGTTCTTTTTTTTAGCAGTTTCTTTTTTCTGCGTTCTCTTTTTTTTAGAGTTCCTTTTTTTCAGACAATTTTTTTTCCTTCATATCAGTTGCGTTCTTTTTTTCAACATCAGATGATCACTTCCTTTTGCTTTCCTTTAAAAATCGTATCTTTTTTTCTTTAACAAATCATATGATGGAAAGTAAGTAGTGTATGTTTGATTTTTTTTTTCACAGCCCATAATGATTTTACTTATTCCATCTTGATTTTAGGTTTTTCTTATGAAGAATTTCAAGCCGATTTACCTTTTTTTCTTAATGATAGTAATAACGAAATGCATTTCCCCTTTTTTCCTGATGACATTGATACAGTAGAGCATATCGATAACTTTAAAAAACAATTTGATAGTCAAAATTTCTACGTAGAACTTCAAGAAAATATGGGTGTAGAAATTCAAGGAAGCATTGTCATAGAACCTCAAGAAAATATGGGTGTAGAATTTCAGTGAAGCATTGTCATAGAACCTCAAGAAAATATGGGTGTAGAATTTCAGGGAAGCATTGTCGTAGAACCTCAAGAACGTTTAAAATCAGAATTTCAAGGAAGTATGAGTGTAGAATTTCATGATAGTGCGGATGTAGAATTTTACGATAGTATGGATGTAGAATTTCATGATAGTAGGGATGTAGAATTTCACAATAGTGTGGATGTAAAATTTCACAATAGTATGGATGTAGAATTTCACGATAGTAAGGATGTAGAGAAGTATGTTATTTTCATAACAGAAATTGATACAAGTATAATTGACATGACTCTTGTGTCCATCAAGGATTAGTAAAACAGGGCGAATAGGAGGAATAAAATTAACAAAATGCTCTATGTATTTTCTAAATAGGCTCTCCCGCATATACTCCATATCAGTAAACCCCATAACAGTGCCAGCAGAAGTACCGTCTAAAAGGCCTGGGATCATCCGCTTTTCCTTGTATATTATTAATGGAGGTATGTACGTTCCGGCAGCTAAAATAGTTGGGCATACGGAGATGTGTTTATAATTGCTGCCGTACGAAACACGATGAACCTGACGTGCACCTTTCTTTGCAATGACTTTTTGAAGTTTAGGCTCAATAATAAAACCTATCTCGTATATAATTATTAGATATAATCTCACCCGGGTTTAAGACCCGAATTCAAAAAAAAAAAAAAAAAGAAAAAAAAAAAGGAAAAAAAAATAAAAAAGGAAAAAAAAAGGAAATAGAACCTGTTTCATCCATATTCCAGATACGATCGGGGGTGAGTAAATATTCAGTAAGAATTTTTTGAAGTTTGTTGAAATGGTCATTGATTATAATAGGATTTGCTTTTTGGACACGTGCTTCATTTAGAGCCTGCGGGACGTGAAATGAAAGTTTGAGGTGATCTTCTAAAAACTGTTTTCACCATGCTTGGCCTGGTCCATTCTCGTTAAAAGGATGTGGATGCCCATCTCTACCAACAATTTCCATCACACAATGATTCACACCAGACCTTGACAATCTGAAACCAAGTCTCTGCATACTCAAGCAATAACCAACCAGTTGCTCTTCTTCGTGGTCAGTTAAAACTTTATTAGGACCTGGACGTTTGAGAGGACCATCGTTTTGAATGACACGTCTAAGGGTTGATTCCGGAATATCAAATTCTCATGCGATACTCCTCACACTTGGAGCTGTAGGATTATTTGAGGAGTTCTTTATAGCCTTAAGGGCTTTCTCAATAGCATTATTTCGGGTAGTTTTATCTTTTTTAAGTGGCATAATGTGCAATTTTACGTTTTTTTTTTATTGTAAATTTTTGATTTAATAAATTCACGGTGAAAGGCAATCCGCGGATAAAATTCCGGTTTAAAGCAGCTTAAATACTTATTTACTTATTTACATACGAACAAATGCGGCTTATTTGTTACACATTAGATCGATTGCGTTCGCTAAAAATGGCGCAAATATCCCTCAAATTTAAACCTTAATGGCCTTTATTTTACTATTTAATGATTACATCCGAAAAATTTGAATAATGAATTAACCAAACAATTCGTAATTGAAATGATAAATACCGTAGACCCCATTATATCTGGGTCTAAACCGGGGTCAAGAATTTGGTGGAATGTAAGAAACCCAGGGGTTTTTGATTAGTAATTTCGATTTAACAAAAACTCCACCCATTACTATACCCTCCTGCCGAGCAATATATCTCCCGGGTATATTATTATTATTCCTAGAACACCTTGTAAAGAATTAACTGAATGATTATTCCACCGATTTGATCAATGTAACGTTTATTGTTTTAAAGCAAGATAAGTACGTACGTTGTAGTTTCATGTGAATTTAATTTACAAATCGGTTAACACCAAGCTTTAGGCTATCTTCGTAAATAATAAACATTT